TTCCCTTTTTTTTTTTTTTTTCATTTTTTTAATTTGTAACACATTGTAGGTCACCTTTTTATTGAGTGTATAATTATTTTTTTTAGTTTTCTAATATATTCTTATTTAAAGCTCGTTGACGTGACTTTTACTTTATGTAGAAGAACTACATATGAAAGTTATTTTAATTTTTGTTTAAAATTAATTTTTAAAAGAGTTTTTTATTCTATAATTATTTTTAGAGGCAACTACATTGAACTAATTTCTTTTAAAAACCTTGTAACTAGAAAAAATACTTTCATAAAAATACTTTAATATGGGGTATATTATAAAATATTAAAAATAGTCTATGAAAGTTTGTAATTGCTTTTGTGACTATCAATAGATTTGAATTACTTTTCTTCTAGTGAAAAAATAGCCTTCTTAAATATTATTGAATGCTACGTCGTATCAACACAAAATGATGGCGAAAAATTTATTGGAAAAATACTCAGATAATTAAATCAATGGATTGTCGCAGAAGGGGAGAAGATGCTTTCGTTTTCTTAGAAAAGTTCAAACAAATTATAAATAAGGAATAAAATCAGAAAGGACCATACTAGTTGTATAATTGAGGTTGACAACCTCGATTGACAATCACTCACATGGGAGGACCGCTTTTTTTTTTTTTTTTTGAATTATTTAAACATGTGGATCCTGCACACATGTGAGTGGTTGTCAATCGAAGTTATCAGTCTCGATTGTACAAATAACATTTTCCAATCAGAAAATTGTAGCCCGAATGACATTGGGGGGCGCGAGATCTACAGACTACAATGACTAGCAGCTAGCTACCAAAAGTAGCAATAAAGGGCTTGTCTTATCTTATAGGGCCATGCCAGTTCCGTGTCCATGAATGATTTCATAGCCACATGTTTTGTGCCAAGCATTTAATGAAGTTGACAACAAATGTATTAACATGGTCCCACACAGTAAACCTAGTCATAATCATTAGTCGTTTTTGATAATTTTATTTTAAAACTCTTTAATTCTCGTACTCATTTTCGACGATATATTTACACAATAAAAATTTTTTCACTTAAATTAATAAATTTTCGTTATTTTTTACTTACACGTTCTTAAAAAATTATTATTCAAAACATTATTTTTTTTCAAAATAATGACTATCAGATAGGAGTCATGTTACATGGTCAGGGCCACATGTGACGCCCCGGGTCTGTCCCCACATACCTCAACCAATAAGGGGGCGTCAAGGCCATATCTTTTTGACTTTTTACATTAAATAGAAGCCCAAGTATAAGAAAGAATAAACACCGCATGATTTGTCACGAACCAATAAAATAAGGAATGTGTTTGATGTACATAATATATGTACATAAGGGCCCACCATATGTGAGGGGTATGGACACTCCTATGTGCATATATTAGGTACACCAAGAATATTTCATAAAATAACTCCATGAGTAATATCTTCCCCACAAGATCAAGTTATTACACAATAGAGGTGTCAGACGGACGGGTCGGCCAGACCCGTGAATGGGGTTGGGCAAAATGAAGAACCGAACCGAACCGAATCGAGCGAGTTTTTTAAAATGAAATACCCGAACGGATATTCAAATCGAGAACCGAATGGTTTGGTTCGGTTCTCGGTTCTAGACCCAGAACCGAAGAATTGAATAAGAACCAAATTTTTTTTTTATATTGGATAAATCAATTTCTTTTATTTTTT